GGGATCTTCCGGGGCGAGGGCACGAACCCGTGTCCCCTGCTTCGGCAGGCGGACTCTCAACCACTGTGCCACCAGGGAAGCCCCCATTGCTTTTTTAAAAGAAAAAAAAAAAAAATCCAAATCATGGTGTTTGTTCCTTCCAACCTCTCGTGTTTGTCTTTTTCGAAAGGCTGTGCGTTTCCCCTCATTCACCTAAATCTGCGGTTGAGTTACTGGCCCCCTGAGGCCGCGGGCTCAGAGCGAGGCATCCGCGCACTTTGCTGCCCGCTGCCTTCTCGGAGTGTAATCAAACATCAAGCTAAGTAGCAAATAAATCTCTCGATCTCATAAGCTGCACAGCGAGATCATGTAAATGCAAATGAAGGAGCGGGTTTCAAGCTGTCGAGGGGGAGGGGAGAGAACGCCGGGGCCCTGTCACCGTGACTGCCTCACGCGGCAAGGGCCATACGTCAGCTGCAGTAACGGTTCTGGCAGCACCGAGGGAGCCAGGGCTGCCCCAGGGAGGACGGAAAAGCCAGGCAGGTGGCAAAACACAGGCAGCCCTGGGTCGTGGGGACCAGACAGGGCCCGGCCGAGTGGTGTGCCGGGCAGGCGCAGTGGGGCCTGGAGAAGTGTCTGCACTGCCTGGGGCTCCCCTTGTCCTGAGCTGGTGAGCTGCTCTAGTAATACCGACAATGACAGCAGTAACAGAGGCCACTGGATACTGGGCTCCAATCCTCGGTCTGGGGAGGTTTTACAGGTGAGGAAAGGGGACCAGACGATTCAAGTGACTTGCCCAAGGTCACACAGGAAGTGGCAGAGCGAGGTCTCAGCTCTGTGACATTAACAGGCTAGTTTCCGGTATCCTCCTGCTGGACCTGCGGCTCTCCCCTCCCCTCCCTTTCCTCCCCTGACCCAGCGGCAGCCAGCTCAGCCCCCATTATAAACTTGATGACATAGAAGAAAAACCTTAACTTTGACCCTTGGCAGGAGTATAGGAAATAGAAACTTTGGCTTTAACTCTGCCTTTTGACTTTTTTAATTAGAAGAGTAAAATCTCAGTACCCATCACCCGCGCTCCCCCCCCCACACACACACACCCTGCCCCTGCCCAAAGGCTGCACCTCTAAGGACACATCCTCACACAGTCACTTACGTTGTTAGGTTTCCTTCCAGTATTTTTTCAATGAATTTTTTCTACATGGTTGTAACAATAGTGTATGTAAATTTTTGAATCCTGCTGATTTTTTTTTCACTTAATGTTATTTTATATGCCTTTGATCATATATGGATGTGGTCTTCTGGTGTGTGGCTTTTCAGTATCATTATGCGATGTTCAACTGCCACTCACACAATGCACATCGTTCAAAGAATCCAGCTTCTGAGACAACGCCGGAGTCCTTTGATGCATAATGCACCTTATTTCACATGATTGTTTATCTGACGTTCTCATTATGGAAATAAATAAATATCCTCTATGCTAATCATGATCACAATTTGCATTTATATTGTGCTTTTCATTCGAGGGTCTTAAGTTGTTTTATAATAATGAACTCCCCCTCCATGAGCGAGATGGGACATGTGTGCATGTGCGTGCGTGGGCAGAGCCGTATACAGATATTTATTTAATAACTACCAGGCAATAACTGTGGGATTTCATGGAACTACGCTTTAATAGGATGTGGGAAAGCGAGTGGAGGCTTCTCAACTGTCGAGCAAACATACATTTAGTTTAGACTCTGGACGAGAGGGTTAAATGGGCTACACTCTTCTGTGGCTGCCAGGAGGTGGGAGTGCTTCCTTTATGGGGCTTAGTCTTCATACAGGAACACCTAAGATTGGTCTAGAGCCCAGGCATCAAGCTCCCAGACAGATCCAAAACCCATCTTGGAGATGACCACCAGCTCGTTTGTCCAGAGTGAGATCCAGTTCAGACGGTCCAAGAAACCAAGCCAGTTAATTTCACCCATTTTCACCTCTTTGGTGGGAAATGGGGGCAAGTTAAGACTTTTTAAAAGTATATGAGGTGGGAAATCATTAGATCGGAGTTGCAAGGTTGGGTCACTTGTTCTGAAGTTGTCCCAGGAAAATGGGCTCTGGCGCGGCTCTGGGGATAGGGGTCCTCCTTCCTGGGTCTCAGGTGACTTTAGTGGGAAACGCCACTGGTACTTGCCTCTGGAAAGCCCCAGCGGTCCTGATGCTGGTGACGGGCTGCTCCAAGAGGACTTCCGGGCCAGGGGCTGCCTGCCCGACCCAGTTCCCCCTGCAGGTTTCCAAGGCTTGTTCCTCGATGTTGGGTAGTGGAGGGAGCTGCCGTGCAGAAGGAGCCCAGAGAATCCCAGGACCCCCTGGGACAGGGAGCGAGATGGTTTTAATTAGAGCTGAGAGACGGGAAATAAGGCAGCGAGGGATGACATCTTAATGAGGTTTAATGAAGCTGTCTGCTGATGGGGACAGCTGTCACCCAGAGCTGTATGCTAGCCAAGCCACTTTGTGACAGAGGAAACTCAGAAAAAGGCACAGTCTGAAAGCAGCTGAGAAGGGCGGGGTGGCCAGACTCAGAGCTGGGGTTTTTCTCCTGCATTGGCCTCTTGATTCTAACACCTCAACAACAAGGGATTCCAGCTAGTAGGCCAGATTTGAATAGCTTCCAATATCTCACAATTCCCCTTTGTGCAAAGCTCAGGTATGCCTCTGAAAAGACCTTGAGGATGTGCACGAGGTGTCTTAGAATTCAGCCATAAGAAACAGGGAGGGCTTGCATCTGGGGGCTGAAAGGGATCCACCATCCCATCCCTTTCTGAGACTCAATTTCCTCCTCTGTCTCGTGGTGACCACGTGGGCTCCGTTATAGAGATGCTGTGAGGGGCCACTGTAGGTGAGCACAGAGCTATGAGGTCAGAGGGCTGGGTTTAATGCCAGCCCTTCCATTTACTACCTGGGTGCCTTGGGGCAAGTGTGAACCTCTTTAAATTTCGGTTTTCCCAACCTCCCAGTGAGGTTGGCAGAGTTCGGGGTGAAGCTCTCAGGACGCAGTGAGTGCTCAATAAAAGTGTTTGCTAAATGAGGTCACGGGGCATAACGTGAGCCTTGCACGTAGGAGGTGCCCAATTAATGTTCACTCTCTTCCTCGTTTCTTTCTTTACTTCTGTAGTAAAGGGAACAAGGTGGTTCCCAGGGATCCCTGGGCAGGGAGGGCACTCTCAGCCTTCACAGGACCCCACAACTGTGCCATCTGCCCCAGAAACTTTGGACATTCCAGCTGAGAGCCATCTCTCATCCTTTTGTGGGCTGGAGGGGCAGGCTACCTGTGGGACTCGGGTGGCCAATCAAAGCTGAGATTCGTGGTCACATCTCCTCAGTTTCACAGCCAGTTTGCCTGCACCTAGAAGTTCAGGGTCAGAAGCTCCTCTGAGCACCTGTTTATCGGTCCTTAGCTGGTCCCTGAGGTGCCCAGAGACCTGTAGTTTCCTCTGTCAGGCAGCTATTCTCTGTAGGCTTCTAGAAAGCCCCTCTGGACAAGCTGGGGAGGGAAGCCCAGGGTCGGTGCTGGGCCCTCCCACCTCTGGCTGGATCCTCTCTGCTGCTTCCAGGGAGCCCCTGGGAGAAGCCTCAGCACTCCTGCTCCCACTGGAATTTTCTTCATGTCGGCTCTCTCCCCAAAATGCCAATCCAAGATCTGGATCTTCTCTCCTCTCCAGCCCTGACCCAGGCACGACTCAGCCATCCCGTGTCCAGGTCACTGAAATGACAGCTCTTCCCATAACGCACAGTCTGTGCATCAAACGGCCGCCTGTCGCTGGGGCTCTCCTGGGCAGAAGGCTACTTACGTCCTCTGTGGGTGTGGAGGGCACCGTGCGAACAAGTCAGATGCACCTGTTATGCGTGAGCAAAATCCAGCCTGCAGAGCTGAAGTCCGCGCACAGGACAAAACAATGGAGAGTCCCGGGCAGTTGCTGCTAAGTGCCAAGAGGCGGCGAAAACTGCGTGGAGTCAGATGTGGGTTCAAATCCACCCTTGGCCACTCATTAGCTGGGAGGCTTTGGGCGGACAAGCCCCTACAGCTGTCTGGACCTCCCTTTCCCACCCGAAAACCCGTGTAGTTTCCAGGGCTGCTTTACGCGTTAGTGGTACCCTGGGGGGCAGTGAAGCGCCCCCGTGGAGCCTGGCCCACGGTCGCCATGATTACAGTGTTGCTGTGGTCGGTGGTGGTGGCACCAGGGCGGGGCCAGTCGGCCTATCTCGTTGGGCACTGCTCCTCTAGGGCGTTCACATGTTAACGCAGGGACTGTGAGACACACGGCCCGAACCTAAAGGATCAAACTGCCAAGGGTGGAATTTCAAGCTTGACGGTAATATCAGGACCCCACCGCTCTTGCGACACGTGGCCGCCTTGCTGACGGATGCGCTCTGAGGGAGGGCGGGCGGGGGGCCGGGCAGGACCGCGGGGTGTGAGGGGCACCCACATCAGGTCGGGAAACAGGACCAGTGCCCCCAAAGACTCCTTGTGCTGCTTGCAGCCACCGTCCCCATCCCCATGGTACCCACCCTCCCGACTTCTGAAACCAGACGTTAGTCATGCTGTGTTTGAACTTTATTTGCATGGAGCAGTGCCTGCCTTGTGTGTCCAGCTCCTTCTGTCCCACATTTGTGTGAGAACCACCCAGGTGGTTGTGTAGAGCTGTTCTCTCGTTCCCGGTGCCATCGAGCAGTTCCTAACCTATTGGCATTTGGGGCCAGATGACTCTGTTGTTGGCAGTGGGGCCTGTCTTGCGCATTGTGGGATGTTTCGCAGCATCCCTGGCCTCCACCCACTGGAGGGAGGGTAGTACTGCCTCCTAGCTGTGACAGGGGGGGGGGGGGGGGGCGGGGGCACAATTGCCCCCAGTTGAGAACCACCGCTATAGAGTGTTGTATTGAATGAATATGTCACCTTTTTTTTTTTTGATCCACCTGGGATGGCCATTTGGGTAGTTTCCGGTGCTTGGCTATCACGAACTGAGCTGCTACGAGCATTCTCAGACATCTCTTTGGGTGGACTTGGGCACTCATTTCTGTTGGGTGTCCAGGAGGGAATTGTTGGGTTATCAGTAAGCGTATGTTTAGCTTTCACAGATACTGCCAAACAGTTTTCCGCAGTGGTTGTACCAGTTTACATTCCCACCAAGAGCATGAGTGTTCCGGTTCATGTCTTTACCAATATCATCGAGTTTTTTATTTTGTACTTCTCAGAGGTTGAGCACCTTGACATATGGGTCCTGGCCACTTGGACATCCCCTTAATAAAGTGCCTATTCAAGTCTTTTGCTCGTCTTTCTATAGGATCGTCCGCATTTTTCTTATTGATTTGTAGCAGCTCTTTATATATGATGAATAACAGCCCTTTGTCAGATATATGTATTGCAAATACCTTCTCTCATTCTATAGACTCACACATTTTTAGAGCTCGAGGCAGTCTGTGCTCCCCTATCAAACCCTCTGGTGGCCTTGGTTGTCATTACTTGTTCAGTTTGTCCTTTTAGCAAGATAAGGAATTTCATAAGGGCAGGGGGCAGTATGTGTCTGCTTTGTTCACCTTAGAACTCCTGGCACAGAGCTTGGTGCAGAGGAGATACAAAATAAATATTTGTGCAGCGAACGAATGAGCGACTTTCCCATTGGGATGACCTTTGCAGCCCAAGGCTTCAGTATTTCTGGCCGTCGTTGCTTCCTAGGCAACCCTCACTAAAAAGCGTGGAGATTGAGGCACCCACCTGCTTCCGTGCCTCCTTCACCGCCAGGCCCCGCCCAGTGGCAGCCGCTGAGTCTGTCGTTCCTCCGCGAGCTGGACTTCTGCCCACCTGCACCTGCCAGAGGGAGGCGGGGCCTCTCCCGGAGAAGTCACATTTTAATTAACTTCCCTTGCCGTCACCTCACCGGAGAGGCCAGATCATTTTCATAAACAAATGAGGAGCCAGGGCTTTGTCTGCAGCTCAGAGTGAATCACGCGGAAGGAAATCCAAACAAACCACCCAGCCAGGGCTCCCCACCTGAAACTCAGAACTCTCAGCTCTCGAGGGAGGTAAAGGCCTGGGATTTGAGATGAGAAGGAAGAGGGAGAAAAAGGATGAGGCAGTGTGTAGGAGAGAACTACCAGAGTCTCCAAGGAGGCAGTTCATTCATTCATTCACTCGTTCAGCCCCTCTTTACTAGCATCTGATGTCTGCTGATCTCTTTGAAAGAGAGGGTTGAGAATAAAAGCTATGTGGCATGTGGGGAATCTCTGTACCTTCTGCTGAATTTTGCAGTGAACTTTACGTTGCTCTAAAAATAAAGTCTATTTTAAAAATAATTAACCTTAAAAGGAAGGAAGGGGGAAAGTGAAAGAAAGAAAGAAAGAAAGAAAGAAAGAAAGAGAGAGAGAAAGAAAGAAAGAAAGAAAGAAAGAAAGAAAGAAAGAAAGAAAGAAAGAAAAAGAAAGAAAGAAAGAAAGAGAGAGAGAGAGAGAAAGAAAGAAAGAAGGAAGGAAGGAAAGGGAGGAAAGGGAGGAAAGGCTTAGCAGACAGTCTACCGAGGGATACAGACGTTAAACTGATCATCACACAATTAATGACTTAATTACACTACTTTGCAATCTTTAATGGCTTTACGGAGATATAATTCACATACTATACAATTCACCCATTTAAAATATACGATCCAATGGCTTTCAGCATATACACAGGATTGTGCAACCAGCACCACAATCAATTTTAGAACATTTTCATTACCCCCCAAAGAAGCCTTATACCCCTTAACCATCACCCCTCAATCATTCCATTCCCCTCTCCGTCTCAGCCATGGGCAACCACTCATCCACTTTCTGTTTCTATGGATTTGCCTATTCGGGACATTTCTTGTAAATGAAATCACACAATATGTGGTCCTTTGTGACTGGCTTCTTCACTGAGCACCATTTTGTAACGGCCCGTCCATGCTGAAGCAGGTTCTCCTGCGTAATTTTGAAAGTGCCCTAAAGGCGGAGCTCAGGGCCCTATGGTGCCATAGACAAGGAAGTTTGCCTGTACTGAGGGCAACCCGGGAGGGCTTCCCAAAGGAAGTGGCTTTTAATCTCAGGCATTTATAGGACACCTGTTATGTGCCACCAGGAAAAAGAAGTCAGTAGAAGCCATTAGAAGGCTGTGTAGGATATTATATTCCAGGCAGGCTGGCCCAGCATGTGCATTCCTGGAAACTGAGAAGGTCATTTCAGTTCTAAGTCCCAAATGAATAGAATGGATAGTGAGTGTTACCAGACCCAGATGAGGGAGAGGCCACAGTGAGCCCGAGGGGTCCAGAGAGCTTGAAGAATAAGAACCAGAAAGGGGAGGGGCAGGCCAGGAGCAAAAGAGGCCGGGACTCCGGCAGACCCTTCAGGGGTGGGGAGTGGTCTATTGTGCCTAAATCTCAGGACCACGTGGAGTATCCAGGAAGGCAAAGCTGCAGAGGTGGATGGGGTTGGAGGGTGCAGGGCCCGGACTGCCAGCCCAAGGGAGGGGTTTCCTCCAAGACAGTGATGAGCCATTATGGGTGGTCCCTCATCATCCACCTCTATGCGCCCAGGTCTCCGGGAGCCAGAGAAAAGGGGAGAGAGATTGATGGGAAAAGGAGAAAGGGTGAGCCCGGAGCCACCAGACTCTCTGGACAGGCTTTGGTGAGGCCAGAGCCAGGAATGTCCTGGGAGATGTAACACCCTGCAATTGGGATCCCACTGCCTGGGGCCCGTGGGGGTGGGAGGAGTAGCTGCACCCACCCAGCTCAGTAAGGTCCATGGTCCCCAGGGGCCTGATGGTACCGGGAGCGTCACACACCTGGCTGGTATCTCTTTAGCAGGTGGATTTGAATGTGGGCTGGAGACACAGCCTGGGTTCAAATCTCAGCTCTGCCACTTCTTGTCCCGTGTGGCCTCGTGCAACCTGTCTTGACCTCTCTGTGCCTCAGCTTCCCCATCTGAGACATGGGGGCAGTGATGGGCTGCCTCACAGGGCAGCTGTGAGGACTAAGGAGAGGCATATGAAGAACCCAGTGCTGTGTCTGGAGCACAGACCTCAGCAGGTGTCCATTGATGAAGAGCAACGATCTAAGCACCGTACAGGACAGGACCTCTGAGCTCAAGGAGCTGCTAGTCTAAAGAGAGGCAGTGCAGCATCATGCTTAAGAGCTTCACCCCGAAGCCAAACACAACTGCATTTGACATCCAGCCCCATCCTTTCAGAGCCGTGGATCGTGACCCCGCCACTCTGGGTCTCAGCTTCCCCACCTGTACAATGGGGGAAATGATGTGGTTGATGATAGAGCAATTTCATCCCTACAAACCCCTTCTGGAGGGTTAAGGAGTTGACCAGAGACCCAAAGAGTGAGAATGGCGGTCCAGCCGCCAGGAGGGTGACAGTGGGCCTTGTCACCGTATCCCCACACCCTCAGGTGACCTCCAAGGAGGCAGCTCCAGTGACGATGATTTGAGCCATCCCCAGTAGGAATGAAGGGTTAGGGAGGAAAGATGCCCCCTCCCTGAAGGGTGGCCCCAGGTGAGTCTCCGTGAACCAGGTCTTTCCGTCCATCTGCAAGATACATCATTTCCAGCTCTAGGTTGCCAGATCTGGGCTGGACCCCAAATACGGCTGCTTAGTGCGGGGACCGTGCCGCCTCTCTCTCCTGCTGCACAAACGCACGTCCTCCCTCAAGGCCTCCGTCCCGACCGCCCCCCCGCCACGAGGGTCCTCCTGACTCCTCTCCTCACCCGCCCCTGAGCGGTAGCACAGCAGGCAGGCTTCCCCAAGGTGTGTCTCAACGCCCAACAGCAGTTAGCGCTCATCTCAGGGAGGGCTCGTGTTCCACACCCTAGTAGCCCTGAGGTCGCCCACAGGGCCTGGGGTAAAACAAGCACCCGATGACTCCCTGTCACTGAATTTAGTGTAATACTGTTGGTCTGAGGTTCCACGGCTCACCTTTGCTCTCTGTCCTTCCCCCAACAGGCTGAACTTGGGAAGCCCCGGGAAAGAAGCTGCAGTCTGCCTGGAATTAATTTTAATTATGGGCTCTACATCCGGAGGCAGGATGGAGGGGTCCCTGAAGGTGAGCAAGCTTCCTCTGGAGCCCAAAGGGACTTGAACTCTCTACCTAGGCTACTTGCTCCAGGAAAAGAGTCAAGGGGCCTGCCCTGCAGCACGATTCTGGCGGAAACCACAGTTTGCTTAGCCGAGAAGGGCAGGACCACGAAGGGTCCTGGTCTAAGGTGTCAGGGAGATAGCAAAGGCCCCAGACAGTGTGGAACCTTGTCCCCAGGCAAGACTGTCTGTGCTCTGCACCTTTTGAGCTGCAAGCGTAGACAGGCTCGTGACCAACCCCCTGATCTCCCAAACGAGGTCAAGGCCAGGCAAACCCAGCTCCATGAAGGATGCTCAGGCATCGCCTAGAATCGCTGGGAATCCTGACCCCACCCTTTCACGGGGCCAAGCAGGGCTGTCACCCAACAGGCTGCAACAGGTTAATGAGAAGGTATTCGTGCCCCAATTTCTTCTCCGTCAGATGCCACGGATTGCTTTACTTCCCAGACTGATCTCCATGCCATGGCTCTGTCTCTCCCTGCCCTCAGCCATTGGACACTGGAATGTATTTAAACAGCAGCCTACCTGCCCCCATGAGCTGAGCCGGGATTATATCGCCATGAACCGTGGGGCAGTAAAAGCTGGCCTGGTAACTGCCCGGGAGAATTTCCATTACCGTCAGCTCAATGACATCCGCATCAGTGACCAGGATGACCGGCGCCTCAAGAAGGAACCGCCCTCTCTCCCTCCGAATATGACATTCGGGATCCGAGCACGGTAAGATGGCTGGCACCCGTGCCAGACAGCTGGCACCCGTGATGGTGAGGGGGGTGCTCAGTGGTGACTGAATTAGGGAACAATGTGGGAGCATGACTCTGGACTCCAGGGAGGGTCGAGTGATCCAGGCCTGGCCAATCAGCATATCTCACAAACCATGGCCAAAGTGACTGGTTCAGAGGCAGACATGTGACCCATGTCCCAACTCTGGAATGCATGACATTCTATAAAAGTAGAATGTGGTTGCATGTAATCAAGTCTCAACTCAAACGACTTTGATTTTTTTTAAGGGGAATTTATTGGCTCACATGATTGAAAAGGTAGAGCTTCAGGCATAGCTGGATCTAGGCAATCAGGCAATGTCACCAGCATTGGGTATGTCTCTCCATGACTTGGCTGTGCTTCCCAGTTTTGGCTCCGTTCTCCGACAGGCTTCTTCCTCGTGTGGCAAAATGGCCAGAATCAGTTCCATTCTTACATCCTATTCTTTTAGTGACCCCAGTGGGAGTGGTGTAGGAACTACAAAAGCCTGGAGATTAAGATTCTTTGGTCCAACTTCAGTATCATTGCTTATCCCTGAACCAACCAAAGGAGTGAGTAGAAATTGTGACCTACACTGATTGGCCAGGCCTGGGTCACACTTTTGCCTCTGCACCAATTACTGAGGCCGGGGGATTCTGGTGCTCTGATTGGCCAGGCCTGATCCCTTGCCCCTCCTTGGAGGGGGCGTGGTTGGAATCAGTCCCCACGATGTACAGGGGCTGATGGTGGAAAAGATGCAGAAATAGAGGTCCTGATCCAGAAGAAGAAGAATGGAACACGATAGCAGGCAAGAACTGCAAATGTCCAGTACAACAGGGCTTCCGACCCATTTTACGTCACAACACAAGCATTACAAAAATCACTGATATTTGTACATTGCATTGTACAAATAAATAGCAGTGCTCTCAGCCAGCAGTGAATGGCCTGGGGCCTCCAGTTGCCCCAAGTCCCATCTGTGACACCTGAGACTAAGCCTGTATCTTGGTCCATCTGTGTGACACTGCCCTGCTCTGCCCACATGCAAGGCCATTGACAGTCTATCTCCAGTCCTTTCCCACCACAACCCACTGTTCCGGGACGGGTGCCTTCCTTTGGCTGTGCTACTCAACTTTTGGGGGGGAGGTGAAGCTTCCTTTATTTCTTATTTTATTTTTTCTAATCATTTTTTACTGTGGTTAAATATACATAAGATTTACCACTTTTAGGTGTACAGTTCAAGGGCATTACGTACATTCAGACTCTGCTGCACGACCATCACCACCATCCATCACTGGAGCTTTTTTCTTCATCCTAAACTGAAACCGTGTACCCATTAAACAGTAACCCTCTATTTCGCACCCCCTCAGCTCTCGGTAACCACCCTCTACTTTCTTCCTGTATTAATTCGACTACTCTAGGGACCTCATATAAGTGGAATTATACAGTATTCGTCCTTTTATATCTGGCTTATTTCACTTAGCATAATGTACTCAAGATACATCCATGTTGTCCTGACAGTATGGATCAGAATTCCCTTCCTTTTTAAGGCTGAATAATAGTCCATGGTGTGTATATATCACATTTTGTTTATCCATTCATCCCTTGATGGATACTTGGACTATTTCCACTTTTTGGCTATTGTGAATAATGCTGCTGTGAACATGGGTGTACACTATCTGCCTGAGTCCCTGCTTTCAATTCTTTTGGGTATATACCCACAAGGGTAATGGCTGGATTGCATGGGAGTTCTATGTTTATTTTTTTGAAGAACTGCCACGGTGTTTCCCGCAGTGTATGCCACCATACCTTTGTATGCTTTCCCCTCTACCTTTCTCAGCATCCTACCTGGTAAAATCTACTTGCTCATCAAAGCTCAGCTCAGCATCCTCTCGTTGGTAAGCTTTCCCACCTCCCTGGCCTCAAACTCTATGCACATCTCTCTCACCAGAAATGCTGTTTGTTCATTGCTGTTCATCAGCCCTCAAAACCTGAAAGGTGGCACTAGAGACACATTGGAAAGTCACTTCTGGACCCGATTAACTGATCATCTGTATACTTTCCTTCTCCCACCTTTGAAATAATGCCCAAGTCGATCCCTCAAGACAAGGCAAGGTTCTCCAGGACTGCCTGGAGTGCAGAGGGACAGAGTCCCAGCTGTGTGATCACTTGACTGGTCCATACTGGTCACCAGTGTCTTGAAGACAGCATGGTGTCCAGGAGGAGTCGCCGGGCTTTTCGTCCCACCTTTGTTCCCACCTCTCTTTCCCTCCAGGGCTTCTGTTTCCTCATCTGTAAATAGGATATTAAGGCAGTCACTGGCATCCTGGGATTCTCAGGGTATGTTCTGTCTCTACGTCAGTTTCATTTCATTGTCACCAAAACCCCGTGCAGCCCCATGTTCATAGCAGCACTGTCTACAATAACCAAGACACGGAATCAACCTAATTGTCCATGGACAGACGAATGGATAAAGAAGATGTGGTACATATATACAATGGAATATTACTCAGCCATAAAAAGGAACAAAATTTGGTCATTTGTAGAGATGTGGATGGATCTAGACACTGTCATACAGAGTGAAGTGAGTCAGAAAGAGAAAAACTAATATCGTATATTAATGCATATATGTGGAACCTAGAAATATGGTACAGATGAACTGGTTTGCAAGGCAGAAATAGAGACACAGATTTAGAGAACAAATGTATGGACACCAAGGGGGGAAAGCGGGGTTTGGGGGGGTGGGATGAATTAGGAGATTGGGATTGACATATATACACTAATATGTATAAAACAGATAACTAATAAGAACGTGCTGTATAAATAAAGAAAATAAAATTCACAAGAAAGAAAGAAATTCAGAAAATAAAAGGATGTATACAAAGGAATACGGTACTACTCAGCCATCAAAAAGAATGAAATAACGCAAATGCAGCGACATGCATGAACCTAGAGATGATCATACTAAGTGAAGCAAGTCAGACAGAGAAAGACAACTATCACGTGACATCGCTTACATGTGGAATCTAAAATGGGATACAAATGAACTTATTTACAAGACAGAAACAGACTCACAGACATAGAAAACAAATTTATGGTTACCAAAGGGGAAAGGGGGTAGAGGAGGGATAAATTAGGAGTTTGGGATTAGCAGATACAAGCTACTATATATAAAATAGATAAACAACAAGGTCCTACTGTATACAGGGAACTAGATCCAATATCCTGTAATAAACCATAATGGAAAAGAATATGAAAAAGAATATACATATGTATATATGTACAACTGAATCAATTTGCCATGAACCAGAAACTAGCACAACATTGTAAATCAACTACACTTCAATAAAAAAATTAAAAAGATTTTTTTTAATTCAAAAAAAGAAAACCTGTGCAGGAAGTAGGCAGGGTTACTTATCCAGCTGAGTCATGGAGAGATTAATTGACCTCCACAAGTTCACACAAATTTTTCACAGCACAGCTTGGCCTGGATTTTTAATCTAGTGTACTTAGATTTAAAAATATGAGATATTAGAACACATAGCACATTAGCAGTCACTTGGTTTGAAGCCCCTCTTTAAAACAGGAAGATAGAAGCTCAGAGAGGCAAAGAGATTTTCACAAGGTCACACAGCAAGTTGTGACCAGACAAAAGCCAGATCTCAGGCTAGGCTGGTGGACTCCCTGTCCCGTGCTCTTTCTTCCATATCTCGCCTCCTTGGGGCTTGAGGTACAGCGTGATCCCCCAGAGTTTCTGGTCCTGGGGCTGCATTATTCTACATACAATGGAAAAGCCTAAGTCAGCTGGGCTCAGAAAGGACATCCATTATCATCTAGCTTTCAATATAAAATCTTAAATTGAGGGCTTCCCTTGTGGCGCAGTGGTTAAGAATCTGCCTGCCAATGCAGGGAACACGGGTTCGATCCCTGGCCCGGGAAAATCCCACATGCCATGGAGCAACTAAGCCCGTGAGCCACAATTACTGAAGCCTGCGTGCCTAGAGCCTGTGCTCTGCAACAAGAGAAGCCACCGCAATGAGAAGCCCGCGCACCACAAAGAAGAGTGGACCACGCTCTCCACAACTAGAGAAAAGCCCGCGCGCAGCAACGAAGACTCTTTCCCTCCAGGGCTTCTGTTTCCTCATCTGTAAATAGGATATTAAGGCAGTCACTGGCATCCTGGGATTCTCAGGGTATGTTCTGTCTCTACGTCAGTTTCATTTCATTGTCACCAAAACCCCGTGCAGCCCCATGTTCATAGCAGCACTGTCTACAATAACCAAGACACGGAATCAACCTAATTGTCCATGGACAGACGAATGGATAAAGAAGATGTGGTACATATATACAATGGAATATTACTCAGCCATAAAAAGGAACAAAATTTGGTCATTTGTAGAGATGTGGATGGATCTAGACACTGTCATACAGAGTGAAGTGAGTCAGAAAGAGAAAAACTAATATCGTATATTAATGCATATATGTGGAACCTAGAAATATGGTACAGATGAACTGGTTTGCAAGGCAGAAATAGAGACACAGATTTAGAGAACAAATGTATGGACACCAAGGGGGGAAAGCGGGGTTTGGGGGGGTGGGATGAATTAGGAGATTGGGATTGACATATATACACTAATATGTATAAAACAGATAACTAATAAGAACGTGCTGTATAAATAAAGAAAATAAAATTCACAAGAAAGAAAGAAATTCAGAAAATAAAAGGATGTATACAAAGGAATACGGTACTACTCAGCCATCAAAAAGAATGAAATAACGCAAATGCAGCGACATGCATGAACCTAGAGATGATCATACTAAGTGAAGCAAGTCAGACAGAGAAAGACAACTATCACGTGACATCGCTTACATGTGGAATCTAAAATGGGATACAAATGAACTTATTTACAAGACAGAAACAGACTCACAGACATAGAAAACAAATTTATGGTTACCAAAGGGGAAAGGGGGTAGAGGAGGGA